AGCTCCATGTAGCTATTAAGCAGTTGAAATGTGGCTGATCCAAATTAAGATGTGCTGTAATTGTGAAATATATAACAGATTTCAAAAGACTTACTATGACAAAATAATCTAAAATACCTCATTAATAATTTTTATATTGATTACATGTTGAAATAATATTTTTAACATTGAGTTAAATTAAAATATATTTTTATAATTAATTTCACTTGTTCTTTTTCTTTTTTAATATACTTAATAAAAATTTAAAATACCTATGTGGTTTGCAAAATATTTCTATTGGACAGTACTGTTATAGACTACTTACAGAAGCTTCCTTCTTGATATTATTATTATTATTATTAATACACATTGAGGGTGACTTTCAGGAAAGATAAAAAAATTTAAAGGCAGAAGGGATGATCCAGTGTGATTAGATGATATTCCTAGGTTTTAATTCATTACATTTTTGTTCTGAAAAATTTATTTTGGTTGCTACATATCTAGATCCAGTGTTCTGGAATTTTTAAAATGTAGGAAAATTGGGATGCTCAATATTTGCCACTTTCTGGTATTTCCTGAGCTGTAACTGGATATCCTAGATTCCTGAGTGCATATGGTAACACTAAAAAAAAAAAAAAATGGCTCAGAAAGAAGTAAATAAAGAATGGGTTGTTTGATATGGTGATATTATGGGAATTAAGTGAGGCTCACTTTCATCTTGTCTCTCTTATTTGAAATAAGTCATCTGGGCTGTTTTATGTCTGCATCAACCTACTAGCAGAAAAAAAATAAATAATTTGAACTGTGATTGGGAATAATATTTAATGAATCAGGGAGTCTGTGAGATTAACTAGTTTCAGCAAAAAGCTCTAAATAAAAGTTAGAAAGCTCAATTTCAAGTGTTTTTTAAATTAAAACCTAATATAAAGATCATCATATTCTCAGATCAACAAATTAGTGGGCATCTTTCCTTCATTTTTAAAAAGCTAAATAAACTAAAATTGGTTTCCTCTTTGTTATTCACAAGTGGTGCAGTGTTTATAGCCTCCTTTCCTGCCCATAGTCATGCTCAATCACTTCCTTCCTGGAGCAATGAGAAGAGAATTGATGGAGAAATTAGCGGGGCTCTTGGGAATGCCCTGAGTCTATCCCTGTCTGGCATGACTTGTTGGGATGAACTTCCTCTTGTCAAATGAGCTCAAGAGAATATATTAAAATACACATTGAGAATTTATGGAAATGAAAGAATTGAGAATATGAGTATCATAGAACATGAGGAAATCTCCAAGACTCTCTTGGGAGGAGCAAAGCAGCATAAGAAAGAAGAAATAAACTATGGGCTGATTTTTTTCCCTGGGACTGGAAAACATGCGGTTCATGTCCATGCCAGATATTGTAGCAGAGACAGATGGGATGGCAGCTGCTGTGAAAGAAAAAATGACTTACTACTAAGTGAACCAAAAAAAGTAAACAAGGACAGAGGAAAAAGGACACAAGTTCCCCCTCTGTTGTCCGGAACATCTTCCTGTAGCTGTAAAAGGTCTAATTGCCTTCCATAGTGTTGCAAATGAGTGTCCTGTTTCCACTGAGTGCACATTTAGAATTCTTTTTAGAGCGCTCATTTTTATCTATTGATTTTCTAAGGATGAAGGGAAGGCAACAACTCATTGAACATATGATGCCAATGTATTATGAAGGAGATGTTATTGCTAATCTTTTTCTGGCTCAATTGGTTGCTATATGATAAGTCTAAAGTGGATGACACTCATTGTAGTTTATTTTAGAAATGTTCCCAATTAACATCCTTTCATGGTGCAAGCTAAATGAATGGGATTGACATTTTAATAAATTTAAATCAAAGTTGTTTCAAATGTGCCTTTGAGAGCTGGGCTGGGCTCTCTTGCTAGGTCCCTGGACTTTAAAATGGGAGTCACAGCAAAATTATAAGTTAGTTTGTGGTGTGGCTCCATGGAGCTGTCAGGGATGTTTGAAGTTAATCAAAGCGATCTACAAATGTTAAGGGTCTACGATAAGATACCCAGGCACATACATATAGTATAGTGTCAATATATGCAGATTTAATGTATGAAAATTCCACAATATGCATTTGACAACCACTGTTGCCTCGCTTATATTAGACAGAGATGGTTGTAATTGAGCCTAAAATTGCCAATGTGAGTTGCTGAAATAAGAAACCTATGTGAATGATATTAAGAATTTTCCAACCATTACAAAAAAAAAGTGGACTAGTATCTAGTGATCGTTTGTCACTATATTTGGAGAATAAATTGAATAATTAATTAAAGATTAACATTGACTAACAGAATTACTGTAGGGTTTTCTAGAGTAATTCTGATTATACATAGCATTTACCTCCTACATTGGTTTTAGAAACATTAATAGCTCCCTCCCCAAAGCTAGACCCCATTGTACATGTACAACTTTGACTGATATATACACATATGATTTACAAAATCATTACAAAAATGAGTCTTAATAACAATACCGAATCCAGTAACAGACACCATTCTTTCCATTTTTAGAGGAGCAAATGTTACCGAAGCTGCCCGGCAATCCCTGTCTATTTCTTATTTTCTTCTTATTTCTTATTTCTTCTTCTCTCTATTGCCCAGATCAATACTTTCCTCTGTTACAGGGAAGGAGAAAAGATGAAATGTAGAAAATGAGTTTCTAGAGATGGGTATCACACTGTCATTTCATTCGGGCCGACCTTGGAACAAATGGGTCCATGAAGTGTGAGCACATTTTCTGAAAGCTAGGAAGAATCGCAGGGAAACTATTTCAACCTGGAGCAAATCCTATGTGAGGGCATTGCTTGTGCTGTGGCCCTGCTAAGTCATCCCAGAGGAATAAGACTCCGAGCCTGATGGGCCAGCGAGGAGTGCGTCTGCTCCTGGTAGGAGTCGGGGACAGAAGGCTGCACTGCAGCCTGAGGTGGCTGACTGTCACTGAGCCATGCTCCTTGACCTATTCAACAAGTGCAAATTCTACATTAGATTTCTGAACTTGGATAATGACTCATGATAAAAGAGCTTCCTATTCTGCTTCATGGAATTTTCTATAAGGAAATAAGGGAAAATGTAAACGTTTTCCAATTCCAGCAGAGGCTGGACCATGCTGCAGTTCTTAAAAAAAAAAGAAGAAGAAAAAGAAAACAATTTGAAACACCCTTCTAATACATTTCAAGACATAACCAGTGTTTATACGACAGCCACCGTTATCAGTATCAACATAGTTTGGGTCCTAATTGAGAATTTCCTCTTTCTATAGGAACGTAAAGCAAATTATAAAATTGTTTGAGAGATTCCTACATTATATCCCTAAAATTAAAGATATGAGTAGAATGGGAAAAATGAGAAAAAAAAGACTGAAAAATTCTAGATGTTCTTTTACCCTGTAATCGCAAAGTACACGTTTTCATAGGGAAATAGTCACTAAGGACTTAAAATGGGAATCAACTTCAGTCTTTTACAGCGCCCTCTAAACAGCATTGTACTTGACAACTTTCACTCACACTCAAAGCTAGATAGCTTTGGTGTTCTGTTTTAATGTTTCATTGAGAATAGTGTGATATCATATTATCCTTATAATAAACACTTCTTAGACTAACAACATAATTTGCTTTATCAAACACCCATTCTTTGCTTTGATAAAAATATGCATTTTATGTCATCTCTGGGTAATTTCTTATGAATTTCCAACACTGATAATGCTTTAGCAAACTCATAATTTACTCAGAATCAAGGGAGCAGAAAACTCCAAGAGAAAATTATATATTGGTCAGAAAAGCAACCTACAGAAAAATCAATATGTATTGGGATCATTTATAACTGTTATAACTTCTGGAGCCCAATAACAAGAGTAAATCTTTATAGAACCAGGTGCATTACAATATCCTGAACTATATTTTGAGTCATCAAAGACAAATTGATCTTCAGTATAATTTTATGTTAATTATTCTATTCTAATTCTTTGCAAATTTGTAAATCTGTCATATTGTAAACCTCAAATAACAAGAACATTCTTTTTTCCTTTCTTTTTCACAAATATTTTCATTTTCATTTGCCTTGGGTGAGTGATAATTCATGATTGTAAAACTCAAATAACTAGAACATTCTTTTTTAAAAAATTGATTTGCAAGAGAGGAAAGGAGAGCGAGCGAGAGAGAGAGAGAGAGAGAGAGAGAGAAACATTGTTGTTCTACTTACTCATGCATTCATTGGTTGTGCCCTATACGTGCCCTGACTGGGGACTGACCTGGCAACATTAGTGCATCGGGACAACACTCTAACCAACTGAGCTAGCTGGCCAGGGCTTAGGACATTCATTTTTATCTTATCCTCACAAATTATCTTTTTTCTCAATACTCCTAAGTAGGTTCCATAAATAAATGTAAATTGAAGAAAATCTATTTTCAGGAAAGTTCTGAAAACTTCCACAGGAAATGCTTAAACTATTGTCTTCAAACAGTTGTAATGGAAAGGAAATAAAATGTTGACGCTCCTTGAGAATCTAAACCCAAATTGCAAAGAAGAGTCTCAGTTTGAATAGTGGCTCCCGTCAAGCCTCTGTTCATGGTCCCACCTAACACTTGTTACCACAGATTGGAAACTAATCAGACAGAGAGTCATTATAAAAGATGAAGCCCCTCAGATGACTTACTTCAAATAATGATGGCAAGGTTATAAACTCCCCTTCCAATTAGTTTTATTGTTTTAGTTGATGGAATCACAGAAGTGAAATGAACCTGGGAAAAGTGAGCACTGTACCCAGCAGGAGCCACAATTCCAAAGCCTGAAACTACTTTAAAAATAATGAAGATGCAGGAGGCTGAGCATGGGCTGGTGTGAGTGAATACCGAGGCTGAAAGACATTGACTGGGAACGTTTTCATTTTTCATATTCAATCAAATCAGTCCGAATACATTTCACTTCTGACTGTGAGTGGAGTAAGTCGTCAAGCTAGAATCAATAACTCCTTTATTACATTTCTTTACTCACCTTCCATGGGGGTGTTGCTGTCTGGTCGATTGGCAAAGACTACGTCCACGTACTCGAGCTGCAGCCTCTGGAGGGAGCCCTTCAATCCTGGGAACAGCAACAGGACAAACCATAAGAGAAGTCCAAATATGAGCACTATTAGAAAGGGTTGAAGTTTGGCTATCTTTAACAATTTCCTTTAAAAAAAATTGGATTAGTTTCAAAAAGACACTGAATACAATGATGTGTTAATGGGCCCCTAAAACCTTGCAAAAATATGTCAAAGGCTGATTTTGTCCCCAGCAAAGTGAAGTATTAGAATTTTCTCAATGATGCTAGTACTCCTACCACACTGGAAAATGCATACGTAGTGATAATCTTACACAGTGATTTGCATGTGGCAGTATCCAGAGCAGTTTAAAATAAAGAGCAGCCTAAGAGCTTCTTCTTGAAAAATACAAATTAGTGTCATGTATTGATTACATTATTAATGGGCTTATAATGGGATGGAGATACACAGCAAAACATAAAAATAATATAAATCAGAAATAAGTGACTACCAACCCCCCAGTGGGTTATAATAGGAATAAAAGGATTGGCAAATGAGGGCATTGCTCAACATCTCACTTATTTGAACAAAGTTCCCAGGCCCTTAAAGATAGCTGAGCTCTACCATTGCTATTATTCCCCATTCTTTTAGGGAGAAACAAAAATACTGGAAGCTGTAAAGATCAAAGAAGTAATATAAAGGACAGAGTGAGAGCGTAAAACAAAATCTGGAACCCCTAATCTATGTTTCAACCCTAACCATTTGGTCACATTCCTGTAAGAATTCAGAAAAAAAATCTATTTAATTTTGGCAAAATTAATAGTTCCCTGAAATAGAACGTATTGTATATAATATTATGCAACCAAAAGGATGACAGTGTTCAAGAGTCATTTTATCTCATTTCCAGGAGGCACAGCATTTCCTTATCAGCCTGTTTAATTCCTCAGGAAGACCGGAGGTTTTTCTCTTTTTATTATAAGCATAAAATTAATTGCATGTTCAATGAGGCTCTTATAAATTTAAATTCGGCTCATTTAAATTTGAGTTTTCAAACTGGTTTATTGGCCAGCCACAATTACCTTTCTGACAGGAAAATGGAGTGCTTGAACATGGTTGCGGAAATATTTTTCACTCATTGAGAAAGGATTGTCTGTGGTGGCAGCTTGGTAAAAGAAGCATTGATGAAGAGATTAGGGCAGACAGGTGTTACGAGGTCTCATGCCTGCTCTTGAAAAACTGGTGACTTTCGGGCTCAGAATATTACCAACTATCTCAGGAGGCAGATTGCAATTACATTCACTTTAAAAAGCACTGTGATATGAGCCACTTTTTGGAAGCAGTTCTGTGTACGGAGAAGGTAAGGGGCGGACAGGATAACCAAGCAAACAAATACACAGGGCGTTACCAGATTTGAAAGGTGGCAAATCTATCCCGGCATGCTGTGTGATCTCATTTGGCTTATTTTACCTTTTTTGTGACTCAGTTCTCTGATCTGCAGTGAGGATAACAGTACTTACTATCTTCAGAACTGCTGTTCCAGAAGGCAAATAAAATCAGTTGTCAAGTACTTTGTGACTACAACAGTCTATAGAAATGTGGTAATTATAATGGTGGTGGTCACATCTGGAAAGGTTCGGAATGAGAGGTGCTGAAGACTAAGGGCCAGAGATTTGCACTAGGCCTGCTGGTTTTGGAGGGAGGCATTTAGTAACCTTCTGGCCCATCGTGGCACTGAACACGATGTCCTCCTTTCTGATGAGGGCCGCCTCCTTCTGCATCTCTTCTAAGCAGCTCAGTGTGGGCTGAGAATAAGCAGGAGGAGAAGCTATGACTGACTTGGCCCTGTTGTGATGCTGTCTAATCAGTCACGACTTAAGTCACTTACTCTTCTATGCTGTAAGCATGTTCTGAATCCCAGTTTGATTCTGAAACTGTGCTGGGCTCTGGGAATATAAGGATGCATGGACATTGTGTTCATCCCTAAGGAGCTAACAGTGCATAATGAGAGCATCTATTGGCATTGGTTCATTATTCCAGGTAATAATGTGTGCCCTAAGTAATGGTGTGGACTTGATATAGTCATTGTATTTTGCCATTCCTTACCTCTCAATTCTTTCTCTGAGAAGCAGAGACTCAAGTGTATTTGTGTAGGAAACAATGTGTTGCATCATGTTAGTGATCCACTCGGTCCCTACCCTTACTCTGAAGTGGAGTAAGAGGAGATTGTGCCCCCTCTATCTATGAGACACTATCTACTCACAGTGAAAATCTCAAGTCTTGTAATCTGTGGTATAAATCATGGATTTTACTCTTCATGAGATGGAAAAACATTTGTTGGGAACTAGAAACTAAGGAAATGGGAGTGAAGCAGGGGAAGCAATATTTCCCTGAAATACGTAATAGGATAGATTTCCATTTTGAACTGATCATTTGGCAGGCTGAGAATGACCTGTATAGGACAAGAGAGAAAGCAGGGAGGGAGACCACTAAGGAGGTTACTGCCCCAGATCAAACTTGGACCAAGCTGGTGAAAAGTGTTCAATTTGGGGGCAAGTTGTATAAGCAGAAATAAGAGGACTTGCTGGTGTGCTGGATATAGAGTTTGGAGGTAGAGGACTCAAGGATGACTCAGATTTTTGGCCTGAGAGGTGAAGTGACTGTTAGTGAAATGATGAAGTCAACAGAAAAGCAGATTGGGGTGCTGGTAGTGGGAGCCATGATAAATCTGAACAGTGTATCAGTTGACCACTATGCAGAGCTCTTGGCAGCTGGATGGGCAAGTCTGGCATTCAGGCAGAGCTCTATGTGTGTGCAGGTGAAGCTCAGGGTCTGGGATCCAGAGCACTGATCTGGGCTGGCCTGAATGACCTCGCCTATGTCTCTTAGCCTCTCTGGGTCTTAGGTTCCTCATCTGTCCAAAGATGAAAAAGAGCTAGATGAACTTTCTTCTTTGACTTATCATGTGATTGCAAACCACATCGAGTACTTCCTCTTCCTATTTGGATACCTTGATCTTGTAGAAATAGCTAAATCATAGCAACATAAAGACATGCTCAACAAATGTCTCCTTGAGAGCCATTTAGGATTTATTTCCAATTAACAAATTGTCAAGTTCTATCTCCACTTAGCAAATGTTTGTTGAGCACTGGCTTGGGGCCAGGTATTGTTCTATGGTTAAGTAGACATACAAAAATGCATTAACCTTGCCTCCAAAGGCGCATCCTGACAGCTAATGTTAACCTAAAAAGGTGAGTGCACTTGCTGAAGGCATTTTTTACATTCACCTGTCCCTGGACACCAACCCAGTGTTTATGGAAGTGAATACATGAGAAGCAGGGGAAATGCTCCCTGCCCTTGAGGAATGTCTAGAAATTAGCTGGTGATACCTCAAAAGTCCACAGGATAATAAATTATGTTATATGAAGAAAATAGCTTTAAAGTGACCATAGTAAAGAGAAATCTAAGTTCATTTTTTTTTAGGTTTTGAAGTTTAATGGGAACTGTAATGCTTATAAGGTGATCCTTAAATCAACTTATGCCTGCTTTACAGGCAACTATCTAAAGACATATGCTCATTCCAGACATTAAGCAGATTGGCATAGAAGTAGACCAGGCACTCAGTGTTGCAAGTTTAACTGTGCAGAGACAAGGAAATTGATAGTCTGGAGATTCTGCAAGGGTTATATTAAAATATGCTGCATTGTCTTCTTTTATACCTACCACACATTTGATTTCCTATCTAGATTGAAAAGAAGTTGCCATAAGTAATGTATTCAGTTTCCCTATAGTTTTCCAGGTTCTTCTTGGCAGATCTCGCAGGCATGATTTAAGACACACTTGTTTTTTTCTTTTAAATAAAGACTGCACTGTTTTAGAATAATATATGTGCTTGCATCACCTGTTATGAAACATGATTATCCTGGTGGATGATTTCAGTTACTATGAACATGGTACACTGGGAAGGAATCCTGTGGTGAATCCATTTGCTATGAAATTTATTTTTTAATTAAAAAATCATAAATTAATTTTTTTGAAAAAAATTTAGATAGGAGACTTTAACATTTGCCATTCATTAAAATAGTTTCAGCAAAGCATTCTCAGACTATTTTCTTTTTCTTTTCCTAAAACAATGACGGTGGATTTGTGTTTTGAATCAGAAAAGAAAACTGTTGTTTATATGAAAGGCAAGTATAGACTGAGGCACAGCTTTTGTCCTATAAAAGCAAGCAAACAACTTACTTATTCTTACACTTTGGCTTACCAAACTATTTCTATTCTTTCATGTTAGATAGTAAAGAAATTTGATCTGCTGAATTGTAACACTGGCATAAGTTTGGGCTTAATGGTTGTTTTGGGAATGGTAAATGAATAAACTTTCAGAGCCTGAGAGGACTTTGGGATTTTAAATGCATATAATTAACCTGTCAGTGAAATTTCTACCCCTCCTTGTGAATCCAAAGAGAATGTTATTCCTAACAGGATTTAAGTCAAGGATTTTGGGCTCTTGAAAAGGTCTTTCATTTTAAGTTTTTTCAAAACTACATTGTGCACCAGTCAAGGTCACTTTACACTTTATAAACTACCTCTGGTGGCCAAAGTCACCCAGCACACAAGTGGCCTGGACTCTACATGAATTGGGCTTCTGTGTTATCCTTTAAGAGCAATTCTTAAATGTAATGTGTACATAAATCTCCAATGTTGAATCAGGTCACTTTCATCACAGAACAAGTACTGATGAAACCCAAATTTTAGAAATCATTCAAACCTTATTTTGGGTCTTAGAAATCCAATGTGCCCTCTTTTGTTCCTGCAAAATTCTCTCAATTCCCTAATTTCAGCCAGCCTAGAAATATCCTTTTTGCTGACTCTCTTGTACTCATGAACATTTTTTGTCTTTGGCTGAAACTATGAACTATAAACTAACAGCAACAATAACAACATAATAATAATTGGTCCCAATTCTTTTTCAGTCTTGAAAGTTTGAAATTTTGTGTCATAGTTTGAATTTGGGTCAATCTGAATTTCAGATGAACTGGTTTATCCACCCTGAGAGATTAGT